TACAGACCGGCGGGCTGCTCGGTGTGGCACGGTAGGCCCGAAAGGCTGAGTTGCGGGCTGTGCAACAGGCAGAACCAAGCTGATCACGTCGTCCTAACTGCGACGTTAAAGAATTCTTGCGGAGTTACGGGGGATCTCCTTAAATGCCTCCTGATCAGCCACTGGTTCAATAGTGACAGCCATAGTGTAGGTCTAGGCTAGCGACCATAGCTGACAGGGATCTATACGAACCCTGTGGTCCTTAGAGAGTCTGTCAGTGAGTTCTGCGGGTAGGTCTACGTGGTGAGGAGTGGGACTGTTCTGTCGTGCACCTATTAGCATGGATGATTACCCGATGTATGGGTTGCTCGTGGGGTTCTGCCTTTGGGGGACCCTTTGGCGTTTCATTTTCCCATTGGGGTTTTGGAATAGGGTAGAGACGCGTACGAGGACGGGTACCTCGCCCTACACGGCCGAGCAGGAAGCAAAGGCGGCCGCGATCTTGAAAGAGAGGAGAGAAAAGGAGGCCAAGAAGAAGGCCTTACTGGAGGCGCAGGCGGCGAAGTTGAAGAAGATAGAGGAGGAGATGGCTAGAGAGAAGGAGAGGCTGAAGAAAGAAGAAGAAGCGAAGTTAAAGGAAGTGGAAGAGGAAGAAGAAGAAGAAGTAGAGGAGGAGCCACTGGAGAGAGGAAGAAGAGGAAACAGAGGGGAGTCCAGTGAGACAAAGGAAGATCTGATGGAGAAGAAGATTTCGGAGTGGGTTGCAGGACTAACCCTGGGAGAAGATGAGGAGGCGCTAATGTATGTGCCCAGGGAGGAGCAGGAGGCGGCCGTGCGAGAGTGGGAAGCTGAAGGAGACCCACTCAAGCGGCAAGTGCTCGAAGATGAGAAGAGGATGGAGTGGAAGTTCCGCCTCACTAGGGAGAGGAAGAGGAGAATGGAGGCGGCAACCGAGGCGGCGCAAGAGTTGGAAGAGATTAGGAAGCAGAAGGATCAAATGGCGGTCCAAGTAGATTTATTGGGGAAGGTAGAGATCCTGGCCAAGAACGTGGAACGCCCGGCAATGGTTCAGGAGGAGCAGCTTTTATTTGGTAGAGGCCAGGACATTGTCGTGCATTCGATACGGTCGGGACTTAGGGACTTTGCTCGGGAGTTGGCCATGCAGATGGGCTCGCATGTGACAGCCCGCCTCGAGGGCACTGAACGATACTGTGTTGGTGCCATTGAGGGCGCCAAGTTGATTGCCCCAAAGGAAGAAGAAGCATGTCCCCGTAGGGAGCCGGTCAAAGTTAAGTTTCCTGATTCCTACAGTGGAAAGAAGGAAGAGAACTTTGACAACTAGGAGGCCAACGTTAAAACGTACGTGCACCTACAGAAGGTGTCCCCCGATGAGCAGGTCCTAATTGCCATCCATGCGTTAAAGGAAGAAGCCGCTAGTTTTGCACGCTCCTTAGTCCGCGCTGCTAATTGCAGCGACGATGTGGTTGCCTACTTTGCTTTCACCCCCCTCGCCGACTTTCTTAAGTTGCTGCGTGAACGATTTGCAGATGTCTTGCGCAGTGTCAGAGCCTCTGATCGATTGCAGACCATCCACTCTCGTCAGTGGAGGAGTGCCAAGGCACTCAAGGGAGTAATGGACGAGTTAGTGGCTACCCCTGACCATGGGGTCACAGAGACCCAACTGGTCAACCTCTTCTACCGGTCTATGCCCGAGTCGTTGCGTGGGCACTTGTTTGAGAAGAGCCAGCAACCTACCATGACCTACGACGCATTGAGTAGGGAAGTGGTAGCGTTTGAAGCGAAGTTTGTGTCAGTTTCCACTTTCTGGCACAAGGATTTGGACAAGGGAAAAAGGTGGAAGGGTCGCACTATCTCAGGGCAGGTGAAGACAAAGGATAGCCTGATCCTTACCTTAGATGAGGGTAGTGTTGACGAGATCCCCTACGACCAGATAGAGTGGGTGCTGGAGGACGTGGACAGCGGCGCGAGTCAAGGGAGAACTTACGCGACTGTCGCGGCCGGAGGGAGGCCGCAAGGAGGAGGACGGGGCCAGGGCCAAGGGGGCCGGGCCTCAGGGAACTGTTCTCAGGGCGAATAGGGGGTTGGCGGCAGAGGAGGAAATCGCCAAGCGGGAGGAAGGGGTCAAGGTCCCCCGCAAAACCAGTATGGGAATAGGTCCAGATAGAGTGGGTGCTGGAGGACGTGGACAGCGGCGCGAGTCAAGGGAGAACTTACGCGACTGTCGCGGCCAGAGGGAGGCCGCAAGGAGGAGGACGGGGCCAGGGCCAAGGGGGCCGGGCCTCAGGGAACTGTTCTTAGGGCGAATAGGGGGTTGGCGGCAGAGGAGGAAATCGCCAAGCGGGAGGAAGGGGTCAAGGTCCCCCGCAAAACCAGTATGGGAATAGGTCCCCTAATAGGAGAAGTGGTTGGCACCCAGGGCTGCCACAAGGCAGGCCTTGGGAAGATCTGGGCCTGGACCAGCGCTTATGGCAACAGCGTGTGAACCAGGGGCAGTGCATCTACTGCGGTGACCCTGGCCACATCATCAAATACTGTCCGAAGTATAGAGAGGCTCGTTCGTCTGCACAGGAGGCAAAAGGCAGCCGCCGGTAGGGGTAGCAACTACCTCTACCATAGGGCCATGTGGAGATGAGTTAGCAAGCCGGCACGAATCTCCCAAACCACATGAGCCCATGGCAGAAGTTGCAGGCCGGTGCCTAGATAGCTGCCCAGAGACTGCGTGTGTTAGAGTCTCTCTAGGCACTTCCCTCACAGGCGTGGCAGAAGAATTGAAGGAGAGGATGCCCGCCTGGGCCAAGATGAGGAAAGAGAATAGAGGGCAGCTCATATTAGTAGATACAGAGATCTTTAGAGGCCGAGCTGGCGCCTTAGTGGATAGTGGAGCCACTCGCAGTTATATTAGTTGGAAGGCGCTGCAGAAGCTGAAGTTGCAGTTGAAAGTCCAAAGACTAGCAGACCCCATAGTAAGTATCCTCGCGGACAATCGCACCATGCGAGTAGAAGAGTATGTAGAGGGAGTCCAGGCGTATTTCCGCCTAGAAAAGGATGGGAAAGTGGAGAAAGTTCTCCATTCCCTAACTCTCCTCGTAGAGGATAGCCTCCCGTTTGACATAGTCCTAGGTATGGACTGGGGAGAGGCAGCAGGGGCCACACTCCATTTGAGGGAGCACGAGTGTAGGCTCCCTAGTCCATCAGGCGGTGTCAAGACTGCCCGTCTGTTTCATGTGTCAAGAGTAGATAACTCCCTGGCACACTGCTGCCTTAGCGCTCCCGCGTTCGCAAGGCTAGTGAAAAGGAGCAGCTAGAGGAACATGTTTTTGTAGCCTATGTTAGGCCAGTTACTGAGCCTAAGGAAGAGAAGCCTATAGACCCTGCTATTGCCAAGCTGCTGGAAGAGTTCACAGGCTTAGCGAAGCCGCTGATAGAAGTAGTACCGCGGCCAATCCAGCATCGTATTGAGATTGAGCCTGGCAGTAGGACCCCCAAGGGAGCAGTGTATAGGATGTCCCCGCGGGAGTTGGAAGAGTTGCGCAGTTAGACGAACTCCTAGAAAAGGGTTGGATTAGGCCCAGTTCGTCTCCATTTGGAGCACCTGTTCTGTTTGTCCCCAAGAAGGAGGGAGAGCTTAGATTGTGCATAGACTATAGGGGCCTGAACGCTATTACAGCTAAGAATGTTGAGCCACTACCCAGGATAGACGATCTTTTAGATCGGGTGCAGGGGTGCAGATACTTTTCGAAGATAGATTTGAAGTCTGGAGACATTTCTAGGATTTAGCTGTTCTGCTTTTGCTGTTCTTAGGACTTATACACTAGTGAGTTGTTTCCAGACTGAGGCTACTGCCTCCAACATTCTAGGATCTAGTTGTCATTACTTTCTGCTTTCCTAGGACATGTATGCTAGTTAGTTGTTTCTGCTTTCCTAGGACATATATGCTAGTTAGTTGTTTCTGCTTTCCTAGGACATGTATGCTAGTTAGTTGCTTTTGCTTTCACTCAGGCTGTTAGTTGTGACATTGCTGTTTTGTGACATTTCCTATCCTAGGTTGCATCGCATGGACTCAGCATGGAGCTTGCTCCGCATCCTAGACTACTCAGGTTTTCTTTTCTTTGGAAGAGTTCCGCTTCTTGGCGGAAGCGTTTTTGTATCTAGGCGATCCATCACAGGCCGAGCATCGTGTAGCGGACCTCTGGTTGGCCTGTGAGACCAGCCCCTTGGCCTGTTCTCACAGGCCTGTGTTCTATTCGGGGCAGTCCAGTCCAGGCCGGTACCTCTGTCGGTACCAGCCAGTCCAGTCCAGTCCCGTCAGTCCGTTGGGGTATACCCCAGTCGTTGTCTGTTTTCGAGATCATTCTACGTTCGCACGGTTTGGAGTATGTGCGTCGGAGTCCGGCGTGGGAGCTGCGCTGTGCCATCTCGCTCCCCCTTTCTTCCTCCATCTCCATCTCTATCCCTGGCGGAGCACCACACCTGGTGGGTCCGCCACATATTATCAAAATCACATTATACAAAGAGTATCTCAAGTTCAAGAGTTTTGCGCCAACAGATTACAAGTCTCCCTCGTTCAATCTCCAATATAGCGCCTGGCTCAGCCAGCGTCTACCCTCACATCATAAGTATGGCGCCAACAGGTAAGTATCCACCATATCCAACTTCACAATCTGTCTTCTCTCTCTCTCTTCTCTCTCAAGATCTCTGTCCTGGTTCCCTCGTCTCACCATTCATGCACACTCTCTACCTACGAGAATCTACTCTGAATGCTACCCACTGATACCTACGACTAACCCCTCTACTTCTACTAATAGTGTTGGTGCAGCTATGGCTGCTTCTGCCAATCAGCGCCCAGCCTCTTCTTCTCCTGCTTGCGCAGCTTCTAGCCAGCGCATTCTCCCTGCATGCTAGCGCACAAGAGCTTCAGCACTTCCATGCATCTATGCCAGTGGAGACCTGTCGTGTGGGGAGGCTGGCCTGGTCCCTTTGGCCACCATGCTGTTTCATTGGCCGGCATCCCGACTCGCGGACTTACTGGAGCAGCAACTTGTGACATGGATCTTTGCATCAGTCTGCGACTTCCTTGCTTCCCAGATCAGACCTCATTGCAGTTCGTGAACCGGACGCACCCTAGCACTTGGACCTTGACACTTGAACTACTACTACGCTTCTTGGACTTCTACCTATCGCAGCTGCTGAAGACCGCTGCAGACCGCCTTTCAAGACACTTGGACACTTTGTTCCTACATGAGATTCTGCTTCCGACTCCTTCGGGCACACCAGCCTTCGCATCCTAAACAAATATTTTCATTTTTATTTTTCCTGACTTTGACAACCCTATAGAACATCATTAGCAGATCCCTGTTTCCCTAACCATTGTCCCCCGTACCCACTAGAACATCAATAGAAACACCCTGTTTTCCTGAACACCGTTTCCCTTACCCAGTAGAACATCAATAGAAATACCCTGTTTTCCTGAACACCGTTTCCCTTACCCAGTAGAACATCAATAGAAGTTCCCTGTTCCCTGAAC